ACGGTAGGTGTCAAGTAATACCATGACAGCAGTCTCGTTTCCCGCTCTCTAATAAAAGCGATCACGGGGTCTTCAAGTACATGTTTAAAACACAACATTTTCCGGCTTAAAAAAATAGTGACTGGTACTTAATTTTTTTTTCTATACATAATAAAATTTTCCTCTCGCTAATAAAAGCAGTCACGGATCTTATGTTTCATGCATACAAATTTTCCTGCTCGCTAATAAAAGCAGTCACGGGTACTTATGTTTCCTTGTTCACTAATAAAAGCGGTCACGAGCAGTTATATTTCATGCATAAAAATTTAAAATACTAGTTTTGGGTTTATACCTTAGGTGCACCGTGATCGAGGCAACTACGGCAGACGATGGTGACGAAGGGAAACTTGTGATGCACAATTTAATATTTTTTGTTATCATTCATGCTATTTAATTAATTACATATTCTTTCTTTTATTTTAAAATTGGAGCTAGAGAGAGAAAAGAGAGAGATTAACTATCTTTCTAGAGAGAGAAGGAGAGGGAAAGAGAGAAAAAGAGAGGGAAATAGAGGAAAAGTGAGGGATTTGCATAGGAAGAGGTTTATGATGTGTAGGAGAATGGAGGGTGAGGTTTAGAGAAAAAAATCTTCTCTCCAGTTTTAGAGAGAGAAAGAGAGAAGAGAATCTTTTCTCTCTTCTCGAAGGAGAGATATGGTGGAATGATGGTAAAGGAAAATGTTTGGGATGAAGAGGGAAGCGTTTGTTTATAAATTTCTCTCTTTCTAGAGAGAAAATTTCTCTCTCTAGGCTAGAGAGAGAAAGTGTAGGGTGAATGGGCTTTTTGGTTGGGGGTGTGTAGGATGTGTGTGGGAGTATTTTTTGTGAAAGGGGATTGGTGGTTTGAGGGATGGATATGAAGAAATTAGAAAATTAAAATTATGGTTGGGGTATGTTTGGAGAAGAAAATAGAGGAAGAAGAAGAAGATGAAGGAGAAGGAAAGGAAGAGGAAGAGGAAAGAAAATTGAAGAGGAGAAAAGAAGTAGGAAAATGGAGAAGAAGAAGAAAGGAGGGAAGGAAGAAGGAGATGAAGAATGAACAATGGAAGAAGATGAAGAAGAGGATGGAGGAGTTACCTTGCTTGCAGGGAGCTTGGGAGGCCGGTGGATGAGAGGCGTGAGAGAGCCGAATGAGGAGAGGGGGAATTGTGGGTTTGGCGGTTGGGAGAGTATGAGGGAGTGAGGGTTTAAGTGAGGGTATTTTAGAGATTTTTTTATTTTAGAATTTTTTCTTTTTAGTTTTTTAAACCTCTCTTTCTCTCCCTCTTTAAATTTTTTTCATATGACATAATTTTTTTTTAATCATGCATCAAGTCGGTTGCCACGTCGTCGCCACGATTTACGCGCGAAATTTAAAATTTTCTCCGATCGGTGACCTCCATCAATATGGGTTCGATCTTAGCTGTTTCCATTGCTCCGGATGCATCGACGCTGTCCGTTTCGGGGATGGAGGCCATTTCAACGATTTTGGTTTCCGGTTGACTCGCGTCGGGTGAGTTAGGCGGGCTGTCGTGCTCTTTTTCTTTTGAAATTCACCTTACGCGGTCGACTCGATCCCGACACTAGTATAGAGGTCAACACCGGCTCATGTTTTTTAATAGATTCTACTTCCATCATCCTTATAAATATAATCAAATTTAATTTATTTTTCTTAGATTTGCTTCATGTCCACTGTCCGTCTTAACACGCCCATCCTAACTTTCTCTTTTCTGCTTCACCCATCTTATTTTATCAATAACGTTTTTCTCACTGAACGGTCAAATCCTTTCTACATAGCTGATTTAATTATAGTTTGATTAAATATACCTTTAAGCCTTCATTATATTATTTTATTGTGTTGTACTGTTGAAGCATTTTTCTCTAAATCAAACAGAACTTCGAAAATTATATCCTCATCTGTACTCCTGTTTTTTGGGTTAATGGATCCAATATATTTCAACTTATCGCTCCTAGTTATGCCATTTTTTCTTGCAATATTAATTGATAATTAGTAATGCCATCATACTCATTAAATTAAATTTCATATTTTAAATCTTTGAACCACTAATCAAAAGCCTTTGATTTCAACATTTTCTTCATTGGTCTAGGTTTTTACTGTTTTAATGGAGGACCACTTAGAAACTATTCCATCTATAAAAGCACTGTCAATTATACCTCACTTTGGATATCCTTTGCATCATCGCTATAACTAATATAAAAAGATATATATTTGATGTTGGTTTTTCCGTAAACATGCCATTATTGGGAACTCCTTTGATGCTCGACAACTACGTATAAGATGAGTGAATGTTCCATTATATATAGCTTTATACTTTTGACTCAACCTTTTTTTTTTCATTATTGCGTAAAATCATTTCTTGGGGTACTCAATTATGTCTTCACACAAAATAAAATGCATGCAAATATCTTTCAGCTTGCTTAACACAAATAACTATCAAATTTTAGTGCACTTACATTTTGTTTGTGGAAAGACATAAAAACACTTGTTAATTGCTGCTATAAGTACATTTAACCTGATTGAAAAATAATATAAATAATGTAAAATTCTGCCTAAATTGATGCGGAGTCTTGAAAAGTTTTAAAATTGTTTTGATTAATCTCTTTTATAGCTTTGATTGATTCAATTTAACTGGCCTATTAGAAATTGATTTTGTCTAGGCTAAATTGGCTCTAGGATAAACCAATCCTTGTGGTATTCCATCAGACTCCTTTGCCATGATCCTCTATATCAATACATCTTGAATAAATAATTTAATTGAAGGAGATTTAAATGGACATGTTGTTAGTAAAGTAACAAAATATTTTAAAAGTATTTATGGTGGCTATAGGTTTGGACCGATTAATAAAGATGGTATGATCATATTAGATTTTGCTCTGGTTTATGAATTTTATTTCTCATCACTCATAAGAAATAGATTTAATAAAACTCAGATTGATAAATTTCTTATAAGAAAAATATATCGTTTATATTGCAAATATTGTGAGTTAATTCTGACTGAAAGTTTTTGTACCCAGTATCGTTTATTAGTTTGAGACTTTAAGATGAAGGGGTGAAAAATAAAAAAAAAATAGAGTAAAATATTATCTTAGGTTAGACAATGTTATTTAAAGAATAGTTATAAAAATAATTTTGGGAGTAAGATTTAAGAAAGATTTTGGTTGCTCATGAGGAAACTAATGTTATATGAAAAAGAAGTAGCTAGTGAGATTAACAATGTTGTAAAATATATGCTTGGAGAATTATATGGAAAAGCTTTTAATAGTAAAAATAGTTGGTGGTAGAATTAAACTATAAAAAAAGAAGAAAAAAATCTCTATTACAAAAATTGGTTCAAATGTAAAAGCTTAGAAAATTGAGAAAGATATTGAAGTGTTCATAGGGAGTCTAAGAGAGCTATATATGATGCAAATAATTTAGCTTTTAATGATTTATATAATATATTAGATACTAAGGAGGACGAAAGATGTATATATAAGTTAATCAAATAAAAAGATAGGAGAAGTAAATATTTAGTTCAAATAAAGTGCATTAAGGATGAAGATTAAAAAGTGCTTTTTTAGATGAGGAGATTCATATAGGTTGATGAGATATTTTAATAAATCTTTCAATGAAGGTTGTGCGGGTATGATTGACTTTAATGACTTTAGCACCTTAAATGAAAATAGTGATTTTAATTTTTATAGTCATATTCATAAAACAAAGTTGGAGAGGCTTAAAAAAAAATAAAGTGTGGAAAAGCAATAGGATTTGATGATATTTCAATAGAAATGTGGCAATGCTTAGGAGATCAATAAATTTTTTGGCCTACTAAACTTTTTAATACTATTTTGAAGGCAAAAAAGATGTCAGATGAGTGGAGAAAGAGTGTATTGATTCCTATGTTTTAGAATAAAGGTGATGCACAAGAGTGTGCATATTATTGGGGAATTAAATTAATATATCATACATTAAAATTATGGGAGAGAGTAATTGAGATAGGTTATGACGTGATACTAATATTTTACAAAATTAGTTTACCATTTCAAGCTTTGCATTTGTTGAGAGGTTCAATTTAGGAGGAAAGAGAGAAGGAATCAAGGGGGAATTGTTTAGGAATATTTTTTTACAATTGGGAGGGAATTATTTATGACAAGATATCTGATTTGAATTCAAATATAAGAGGAAATTATTTAGGGAAAGGGGGCTGATTTGGGAGGAAATTATGGGAGCCTATTTGAGGCTAACAATAGGGTGATTTCATGATTATAATGTTATTTGTTGAATTTAAATTGTTCTTAGGGAGTGTTGTGCTCTAGCTGGCGTATAGGGATTTGGGAGAGTCGGATCTTCCTCTCCAATAGAAGATCCATAATATCTTGTTGTTTTCTTCAGTATATCATCAATTAAAAGAGTTTTCTCTTATTATTGTTTTTAATTCCTCTTGGAAATTGTGTTTGGGATTGCTGTAATTTAATTTCAGCGAAGGGAGATAGGATTTTTACAAGCACTTCCTATCATATTTATAGTCCTTTTTGTTACTCTCTTGACTTATTTTGTTGCTACTATCGTTAATAAAATTATTCAGTTTTGTTGAGCCATTCTAACTTCATCTTCTACATTTGGAAGTTTCTATATTTCCTCCAATAGTTTCATAAAATTTGCAGCAAGTAATATTGTTAATTTAATTTCTAATTGTTGTGTATGTGATTCTGCAAAATTTACCATTATCAAAAGATGCTTCTGTGTTAGTTGGAAGATTTCTTTTTATTTTGTAGTTGATCTTTCATATAAGTACATTGAGCATTCCTTCTTTTTTTTGTTTAGACGTTGATACTGGTGTATTTTATCTTAATATGCTTTTTTGGTTTAATAGTTCTGAATTCACTAGTCACAATGGTTATTGTAACATTCCCTTCCTTTTAAGAGCATCATACTGTGCTTTGGTGAAAAATAATTATTTATCTTTGTAAACATCCCTTCAGTTGGGATGAATGGGTTGTTGCTGACCGTTTGCTCAAGTTTACTGAGGAAAATGTTGCGAAGCAGAAATTTCTTGCAAAAAATCAGAATGTAGATAAGAGTTCCAAGTCAGGGAGGTCAACTCAGAGCAAGCCACGAAGCTCAAATGGTTTGTTTGTTTTCTACTCAAGTTACTTTGTAGCCTTGCCGTATTTTAGGAGGGTACTAAAATATGGAAGCATTTGCGCATGCTTGGATTTATTGTTATCTCTATGTTGTTCTTTTGCATGCAACTGTAACTGGACTTGTTGCAATTGTAATCTTTTCCTTCATTGCATGAACGTGCTTAAATAGAATTCTTGTTGAGCAAGTCACGAATATACTTTGCATGCTCTTTTTTTTCAAAGGAGATTTGTTGTAACACATTTTTATATTGGGATTTACAGATGCGAAAGTGGATAAAGAAGATTTAAGAAATCAGGGTGAGTCATTTTCTTCTCTTTTTGTGTGTATTCTAATTTTTTAATTATATTCTTCTATTTGATAAATCTGTTGGTTATTGGCATTTTTTGCGTACTCATGTGCTTGTCATTTTTTTGATTGTCCATATTATTAAATCTGAAAAATTTTCTATGATTAATAATTACTATACCCTGAAAGTGGTAAGCAAGTCCATAATGTGCTTTATGTACTTGAAACACAAAACTTGCTGTGTTTGAGCAAGCTGTGTGTTTTCATAGGCATGCCTTCGACAAATTTAGATGATTAGAAGATGAATTCATACTAACGGAAGTGGAAGATAGGAAATGCTAGGATGATTTAGCATGGTGCTTAGTTGAACCTCCACAACTTCTAGCAAGTTGGGTATGTTGGCCATATGGAAGTGTTGACTATAAAAAAGGGATCCCTGAGAGGAGACAACCCATGGCTGCTAATCAGATTCCCTGGACACTGCGGTCAATGATTGCTAGTGTTGGTTGACTGAAATCTATGGTATACCCGGGACGACGGAACCATGGGATCTTGATCGGGTTTACCTCTATTTCCCCTACTATTGAGACTAAAATTTATTTCATCCTTAATCGAGAGTTCTCTCTTACGTTGTAAGAGGGGTAATTAACTATGGGCGCTTGCGCTCATAGGAAGTAAGAACCCCAGATCTATAAACCCTGACACTCTCCTCAGGGGAAATCTGGTTAATTTCAATCTGACTTAAGGGAAATGGAATCCTATAGCTGCAAAGCGGGATTCGTGCACTCGTGCCATTTTTCTTGAGCCAACAGGAAGCTCAAAACATTGAAAGAAAGTTAGAAAAACTGGTCCATGACTTGACTTTGGTGGAATGCTACCATGAATTCCTTCTATGTTCAATTGAACTGTTGACCTCCAAACCAAAACATACAACAACAACAATAGCATCAAGCCGTTTTCCCACTATGTGGGGTCGGTTACATGAATCCTTTTTCTCCATTGTGTCTTGTTAAAAGTCAAATTCTCATTAAATCTAATAAAGATAGATCATTTCTAATATTTTATAACCAAGCCTTTTTAGGTCTACCTCTACCTTTCTTAACATAATTCAAATCTAATACATCTACTTTCCTAATCGCGTCATCAGAAGGCCGCCATTTGATGTGACCAAACCATCTAAGGAGATTCTCTCTAATCTTATCTTCCATTGGAGCTACTAAAATCTTTTCATATACCTATCTACTTTCGTAATCATAGTTAGTTATAATTAATTCTTCTTAATTATAATTAATTATCATTAATTTTAATTAATTGCTAAGAAAGAGAAATATTCACCTAGATCTACGTGCCACTATCCTCGATGCTAACGGCATTGTCATTGTTGCCCCGACATAGCTGACAACATCATCATCGACCCCTGCATAGGTATAAAATTCCAAACCCTTTCCTCCGTGCTTACAGCGCAACGAGCAACCACCTATGCATGATTTTCTTAGCGTGGTAGGAGGAAGCTTGCTGCGGTGCTTGCAACGAGGTGAGTGTTCATCATGCATGCTTTTCTTAGTAGGACGAGACAAAATTTAAGTACTCGTATGCGTGTTAGTGTTGGTGGGGAAACAACTGTGTGTTTTCAAACAGGTACTCCTGAAGACCTATGCACGCCTTGTCATTGTAGGATTGAAGACTACGACCGCGGTGTCATCTGACACCGATCGTGCATGTCTTTTTTGACATGGCGGGCAGGTTAAGACTTCCACAAAGGAGTTGTCGTGAGGCTGCCAAAATTCGGATTGAAATGCATAGAACTTAAATAAATAACATAAGATTTGATTTGAAAAAAAATGAACTACAGGGAACTTGATTTGATTTGGACCAAATGACAATAAGCTTGAATTCGAAAGGACCACAGGTAACCATTAACAAATGTATAATAATAACAAAATGCACATATTGGATAATAGCCCGGATACTCCATATGATCGTCAATGAACAATCTAAGATTTCTAAAATAAAGAGATGGTGATGCACTCACAAGTAATAATGCAAGATCTACAATGAGTGTTAATGAATTATCTTGTCATTTGAAATGGAAAGCATTAACAAGTAAATTCGCCATGTAAGCCACAAGTCATCCTCAAAGGACAGTAAGAGGCTTGTAACGTTCAACATGATCCATTCACAAGCAATAATTAATGAAGGTAGTAGGGAGTATGACAACATGTTTGCCAACAATAATGTGAAACTTTCAATGGGCATTATGGCTCATGCATATTGATTGTAGTAGTTGAGATATAAATGTCGACTAGCAATGATGATAATATTCACCATACAAGCCATCCTATGAATGTACTCAAGAGACATGCAGTGGTATGCCTATGAGTGAAGCATGGAGACACACAAAGACTATGGCACAAGCTACATACACAATATTTTATGCATCAACAAGCATGACAAATCTTCAGCGTATATGAACTCTTACAAATTATTTAACTCATCTACTAGTAACAACGAATAACACAGTCAATGATAAGTGAATATATTAATCCCCTGCAAGTAAGGGTGGTCGGCTTGCAACGAGTGTAAACATCTACAAATTGCCGTAGAAGACTTGCTATATAGTCAACATGCCACCTGTGAGCAAGAGGCCAGATGACTACGACAAATGCATACGAGCTCCTATGAGCGACTGTAGGAGACTCTTCATTTATGCGGTGATCCTATCTAAAAGCAATTATATTGAATGTATTGCTAGTGTGATGGAACCTTTACAGGCAAGAGATATAAGAGCGTAGCAAATGCAAGTGCCTACTAACATCGATAGAAGATTCATCATATGCACAATAATATATATGCGTGTGGTGATTAATAAGTTGCGAATAAAATATCATCCCTACAATTAACCACCATTCAATAACCAGTAAATACATCGATTCATTGCAAGTAGGGAGGGTGATATGCAGCAATGCAAAAAACCTACGAACCGCTATAGGAGACCTATCACCTATGATGCACATACATTGACATGACGACACGGATACGACGCGCATTGGGCACCTGACATGTCAATTATTGAAAATATAGGACACAAACATGGGTTGGACATGATATTATATTATTATATTTTAAAATAGTGTATAAAAATTGAATAAGTATAATTTTTAAAGATAATTTAGAAATAATAAGTAATTTAATTAGAATTTGTGCTTAAAATGATTAATATTAGGATGTCGGGAGTAAGGCGTTGATGCAGTTTATCAGTCATCGAGAGAGAAGATGACAATGTTGTCGAGAGTCGCGTATTGATGTTATGTAGTAAATAATGGGCGTCAATGTTTATAGGACGTTTATCGTTGATGTTGAGAGGGCGTTGGTCGTCGATGTTGAGTGGGCATTGAACCAAGATGAGATGTCAAGTTGCGGGTGTAAAAATTGCTAGCAGCGAGCATCTATGTAAAGAAGGTGTCAGACTTTGATATGGATATCGTTTTGAAATGTTGATATTGTAACAACATCAGACGTCGATGTTGAGATGACATCGGACATTGTTACGAAATCAAACTTGTAACCTGCCAAAGAGAAATGAAAAGGAGAAAATTATTCGATGAATGGGGTATTAAGCGGACGATTGATTTGGTGTTGTGGATAGAAAATAAGAATTTTAGTTTATATATTTTAAATAAGTAAAAATTTTAAATATACGAAATTATATTTAAAAAATTTCATAAAATATTTAAGAAACGCATATCAGACCTGTGTGTGCAATTTATATTTAATATTTTTTTTAATCGTACATATTTTCGAGGTGTCCGACATGTGTCGGATGTGTCGGATGCGTGTCGTTTGAGATACGTGTCGGACACTGCACGTCTTTTTAAGGAGAAGTGTAGGTTCATCTAGCCTATCACGTACACAAAGTGCTATCCACAAGCAAATACAAAAGACACGTCATACACATCATAAGCAAAACATAGGAGAAATATGAAAAATGTAAGAACATACGGGTCATCGTAGTAGACTTGTGTAAACAAACAAGCTACTTACAAGTAAGGGCAGCTAATGACTATTGCAACACCCTTGCAATCAATCATCATTTAACACAATTAAAAAAATAACTCATAAATATACGGATGTGCCGTCTGAGGATACTTCGCGGGTCAATATATAAACTTAAGTCTGAGCACGATCCTTCTATGTTAATGGATAGGAGTCGGCATGGCTCAAACCGTTAAGCAAATATACGATCGCGACATCGACCGAGATATTTTATTTTATTGTTCATATTATGCCTTCAAGGTCTATTAAAGTAAAGATTCACTGCTAAAGGTATAAAGCCAATCACGGACTTGATCCTTTGTCAACAAGTGGATAGGGTTGACAAGGTCTAACCAACAAGATGAAATTCCCCATAAATATTTCGATGATGGTTGTGTTGAACATAGATTCAACCGGAGGAGTTAATTTCAAATGTTTAAAATGCCATCCAAATGCCTATAAAAATCTAAAAACTTCAAAACTATCAAAATCCGAAATATTTAAAATCGAAATTAACCATCAAAACACTCCACTTTCTGCAACAATTTGTAGAGTTTGACAAATTCAAATATCGCTTCAACTCACAAAGTGCTAATGTCTAGTCGATAATAAACCTATGATTCATTCTCAATTTGTCTCCTACCAGTAAGGACGTGCCATGTGTCCTTTAATTAGTGGTTTCACCGCCAAATGACACAACTAAACTACAGTTATGGCCAGAGCTTCTGTGCTCCCTATTGACATTAAATTCTTGAGATACAAATCAATATGATATAATCGATAAGGCAAAAACTCCTCTACTAGCTAAGGTGGATTCAAATTTGTCCCCTTAGGCAATATCCACCCAGATCTATAATGTATCATTGGACGAAGTAACCCATGACTGCCGATAAGGTTCGCTCTATCATGTTGGGTCGAGTACCTCCTCTAAGTAGATCAGGGACCATGATGGCCCGGTACGATGGAGCCATGGGATCTT